TTTCGTACAACAGGTATCAATGACATGAAATGGAAATTTGTTAAAATTTTTTTTTGTTTATCTTTTCGTAAGTTTACTACTTTGTTGATATAAATAAAATAAAATAAATTAATTTTAATTTCATATCAAATTTATTAAACATTGATTAATTTTGAAGAAATTTTTGATTACCTTGCGTAAATTTTGGAACGCAATCAGAACTTAAAGAGTTGAATATTAAAGTGATTGTAAGCAACATGTTGGGCGGTTGTGTTAGCTCGTCGGACACTTATGATAATATAGCCGATTATATAAAGGTTAGTTAATATAATTTTTCTCTTTATATGGAAATTGAATTTCCAGACACACAAGATTCTAATGCAAACACAAATATAACAATATGCGTATGTATAAGTGTATAAGTGTGCATATTTGTATTTAACTAACTCATACACGTTACTGTCATGTTTAGATAACCCTCATGCACAAGCAACACACGGCTTGTATATATAATGCAATACAATATACATTTGTAAAAGTAGAAATAAGAGAGTGGAGGATATCCAAAGCTGGCATGAAATTGGTATATTTATAAGAGCGTGTTCGTATGCATGCATGTATTGTATATACTTATATAATTTTAATGCTAGCATAAAACAATTGACTAGAAGCATATTTCCTGATGTTGTTTGTTTACCAACCAGTACCTCTACACATACAAGCAAGCAGTAGTTGAGTGAATAGTGAGTGCTGCACACTTTCCGTAAAAGAGATAAGAGAAAATTTTCAGACAGAAATTTAAAGGACGCTAGCTATTGTTTTTGTGTTAAGGTCTTTTTTTTTTTTTTTTTTTTTTCTTCTTTTTATTTTTATCTATGGACTTGCTTTTCAGGTAATTTTTTGGGGATTTTAATGCAAACAAATAATCTTCCTTTGTGTTATGTCCAAACGTATTTAAACTTAAAGAATGTTATGCGTGGACTCGAGTGTATATCTGCCTTAGAGACTACAAAAGAGATATGGAGGAACAACAAAATGCTTCATATGTCAAGAGGATTTTTCTAAAATATAATATTAAATAACTTAGGATTGTTGAACAACAATTTGTTTCTACCTTGAATTACATAAGAAAAAATAAACAATATCGAAATGAAAAATATTTTATATTCTTCCCAATACATTAACGAAGAAGCATTAAAAGGAGAGCTTTACATTTAATGTTTAGCACACATCCAGTGGCATCAACATGAGGTTTATAAAACTTCTTTTAGAAGCTTATAAGGCTTTGATGTTTCTTTGACCAAATTTATTTTAAGCTTTATTTTTGTTGAATTTTAAATCGTTAGAGAAAGTTGGTCTTGTCTTACTTGCGTATGTAATAATTTATAGACCGTGGCCGTAGACGTTGCATGGCTAGTGACGTTACTAATGAATTCTTTACAGATTGTAAAATTTGCCAAATTTTAATATCTTTCAACATGTACACGAAGACATGGATGGAAAACTAATTAAGATCATTGAACTAAAGACAACAATATTATCTTATTTGCTATCTTGCATGCTCTGACTTTTATACGGGAAGAAAGTAATATTTTTAACGTCTACAGTAGTTTAAATAGCTTCAAGTTTGTAAGTTGTTTTCATTTATTTGTGTTGTTTATTCGTACTCATATAAAATTTAACTACAATATAGACTCAGCTGAATTGAACAACACTCAAGATTAAAGGCTTAAATTATGACATCATTATTATGAAATGTTAAAGAAAAAAAGAAAAAAAAATAGGCCTAAAGGTACAAAAATTTTTATATACATATAATAAATAGCATAAAAAGCAGAAAAAAAAAGAAAAATATAAAATAAAAAGACAAAGAAAAACATGTGTAAGTCTAGCTCAATAGTACACTCGCAGCCGATATGCATCAATATGCTCTGGGACACTAAGGCAGATCTTTGAAAGCTTGGCAGCAATGCAATTTAGTATATTGATGGACACTAACATACACATTAATATTACAAAAAAAATTATAAGTTTGTAAAGACATAAAATTTCACCTTCTTGCCCATCTACCTATAGAGAGGTAACAAACACTGAGTAAACAAGATTCCTAACAAGAAAATTTTTTTATTGGAATCACAAATTATTCTTCTAGATTAATTCAGATTCGATTTTTTTCATATAATAACTGCCATCACTGTTTTGATTCGTTCACACACTTATCTTAATCTAAATCACTGGACTCGCAGTTATCTTACTTGCAGTCATATTACAAGCTAACCGTTTAGATGTACTTGTCGTGAGTATCTGTTAATGTTTACGGACGAAGGTAAAAGCAAACATCTACTTAGGTTGGAAGCTACAGCCAGAAGAAGAAGAAAACGGAAATCGGACCTTCATAATGCCCTTTGCCGATTTGGCGACGTTGCCAACCGATCAACCGATTTCTTACGAAATCATATGTTTAATTCGCAAGCGATATCACACGTCTCCATCTCGTCCGCCAGAGTCATATGTTAGCGCACTTAACCTACTCTTAACTTACATTATGGGACCAAAACGAAATCCGACTTCAGTCTTCACAAATTACTGTTCAAACATGACAGCGCACGAGTACTAAAAAAAAAAAAAGAATTTAAAAATATAAAACCAATCTCATAGAGAGAGATTAGGTTTTTGAAAAATACCGTCAGGAGTTGAAATAGAATAAACCTACCTTATAAAAAGCTTCACAGATTCAGGCTTTAGGCTTTACATCGCTGTACTGACGATGTTGGCAAGACGAACCCATCAGTTATGTGTTAAAATAAACAAATTGGCTGTTAGTGCTTTATTTCTCATTTAATTAGAAAGGAAAGTGTTACAATAGCCTGTCGAGTAGTTGAAAATGGTTTGGCCATTTTAAGCCGAAGCGCATAAACCATCGTAAAAGATAACGGTCTAGAGACCAAATAGAGTAATTATCCAAACCGGTGGGGCTCGCTTGTAACAACTTCTGAAGCGTTAAACTAAATACATTTTGTTGTCATTTCTTCAATAGATTTATGTTTAACGATGACCCTTTACGACGTTGTTTGCTTACTAAGAATATGTAATTACCACTATCTCCTATACAGACTCCCCTTAGAAAAGATCAGAAGATGTACTCTGAAAATTGGCTCTAGCGTAGGCAAAAGCGAATCGGAAACAACAAGTAATAATTTTTTATATCCAACATCTTTGTGTTAAGAGAGAAAACACTAATAAAAGGGAAAGACCGAAATTTCGATATTCTATGAAATTGCGTGGCCTTGATATTTTTTTAAAGATACTGTAGAACCATCTACGGAATATACTTGGAAATTTGTATTGTTCCGCTCTCAGTTCCATTCTCGTAGAACGTAACACGCTGTACGGACCTGAATATCATTCTAAAAATATCAATTCGGTTTTAATGCTAATGTCGATTTGGTAACGGGAGTCTTTGCTTAGAACATATCGCTTTAAAATTCAAATGATTAAAAGATGAAAAAGTGCATGATTTTAATTTCTTTTTAAATTATTTACGTATATTTGTTGCACACTTTGCCTCAAACAATTACGTGCGCTAAGTTACATACTATGCAGACGCAAACTTACTTATAATGAAATTAGCCCCTTTAACCCAAATCCTACTTGAACAGATTATAATTAATCTCCATCAATTCACTCGACTTTGATTATTCTAAACGTTAGTTAAAGCAAACAATTTGTTCCTTGTGAATTTTTAATTTCTAACATCCGATTAGTTATTTTCTATTCTATTTAGTTATCATCCTTTTTCCATTTCCGGAAATTTATTATTCACCTTATTTTTATCTTGAATATTTGTTTCCTCATATGTATGGATATTTTTATAGCGTTAGTATACTTTTCTTTGCTGTATACAAACATAAGCTTTAACCACATTTTTAGTTATTCTACTGGGTAGTTCTTATAACCGCATTTTTAGTTATTCTACCGGGTAGTTCTTACATTTACGTATACTTGTGCGTTTGTTTTCCATTAAATTTATCGTTATATTTATTTGCTTAAGTTTATTGAATTTGCTTCTCACTAATTGGCACTTATGTTTGCTACGTCCTGTTTGCGATTACATATAAAGGCATTTGGTTTGATTGTGATTATATAGAATTGACCTTTTAAGTGTCAACACCTAATAAATTAGAATAAAGAATAGAGAGAGAAAGAAAAAATGGACGCATAACTACATCCAATTGTAGTTTCGGGGTGAAAAGATGTATACGAGTCGGAGAGTTTTTAGTTATCGATTACAAGCAAACTGAAACGTACTTGCAATATGTTACTCGATAGCGATTATACGATAGTAAGAGTGTCTTAACGGCAGCTATAACCTCACTACTTACTAGTTACAGCAATTCCATTTACGACATCCCAAAACAAGCCTAGAACCGTAACCATTTGCTTACTACAATCAAGCTGGGTAAGGTTTCCTCTATATATATCGTGATATGCAGCTGGTTCTCTTCTTCACACCATCGGTCGGATTACTGCGAAGGAATAACTCGACATACTCAGTGATAAAATTTTTAATTCAATACAAGAGGGTTCAATCTTGGTTTGAAGAGCATGAGAATATCATCAAACATCTGCCTGATTAGCACAATCGTCCGACTTTATCACAATTGATTGGTTATGGAGAGTTTTAGGGCAGAGGAGTTATTAAAGCAATTGGCGATTGTTTTGGTACAATAATGGGACAGCATGCCGTTGGAAACTATTCAGACACTCTATGAATCTATTCCGGGAACAATTGCTGGTGTTCTAATAGTGGCCCAACATGTTACTAACAAATAAATATTGTGTACATGTCAAGCTTTCATATTAATTTCCCCATCCACTGTAACGAATTTATTACTGTTATTGACAATACCTTCGTTATACAGTTTATTAAAAATGCTAATACAACCTGTGTGTCTATGCAAACTTTTCGAAGGTCATTGAAATTTCCCTTCTAAATATATCTTTATATCCTTTTGTTTCAGATTTACACCGACTGGGCGAACTATTACTTAGAGCGCGCCAAGTCGAAAAAGAAGGTTACTGATCTATCATCAGATTGTCGCGATGGACTTCTACTGGCTGAAATAATTGAAGCGGTAACATCGTTTAAAGTTCCTGATCTTCACAAAAAACCCAAAAATCAACAACAAATGGTAAGCTTTGGTCATTAAAAACAGAAGCTTTACAAAACTTATTAAAAAGACCGCATCATCTTCTTTAAAGTAATTAAAAAGTAAAACTTTTTCAAACTATAAGACAAACGTGTATCTATGTATATATATGCATGAGAATATAAACTAAACTCATCATTAAAATTTCTGAAAACGTGAATTTTTTCACAGGTAGCAGACGATTCATAAGAATCCTTCGTCACAGAACACGAAATGGAAAATAAAATTTTAATTGTTTTTACTCTCTCATATACACGCGAATGTCTGCATACTTGCGTAAGGAAAAGGAAAGACATGGTGTGATAGAGAAATGAATGCCACCAGTATTTTTTTTTTTACATCGGTTGTCTGTCTAGAAATTCACTTATACTTTTGCACTCAGATAAAGCGATGACGATTGTTTATATTAATAATGATAACGTTGATGATAACGTCGCTAGTGCGATGTAGAAAATGATGATGTTAAAAACTGTTGACTGACTTTTTCTTCTTCATAGCTTTGCTTCCTATTACATTCTATTCGCAGTCACTCAGTCATTTCATGAGAGTGCTTGCAATGAACATCTTCTTTTTTTTTTTACACCCATCACCGAAAGATGAGGGATATATTCATTTCGTCAAAACCTTTGCAACAGCCAGAAGGAAACAGCAGAGACCTCATAAAGTCTGTGTACATTCTTGATCAGTGTCTAATTCTGAATCAATTTAAACATGTCTGTCTGCTTAATGTCTGTTTTGAACGGTTTTTTTTTTTTTGGACGCAAAACTGAAGATATTGTCTATAAATTTGGCAAAAATATCGGGAGCTCTTGCACTCAAGTTGGTATTGAAACTGGGCTAAATCGGTCGAACGACAAGCCCACAGCGCCACGTAAACTGACAACGCCTTCATTTCTTAAAAGGAGTAAAAAATTGGCTTTTTGCTCACTACTCACGAACTGTAGCAGTTAAGTGAACAATAGTTTGAACGCATGCTCTAAGAATGAAAGAAAGTTGACCACGCCTTCGCAATATTATGGTATGTCAAAGTTTAATTTTTTCTTCAAACATCTCATCAAGCATATAAATTTTTAGCCAGTTTCAAATTTGAAACGTACCTGAGCATGTCCGTCTGTTCTTATGTCCAGGTGTACGTCCCCGGCACTGCGTAGTATCTGTGGTGAATATTCTCTCGTTAACGGAAATTAACATATCGCCAATAAAAAGAATTTTGAAGTGGCCTAAACTGTTCAAAGGACACGCCTATGCGGGAAAAAATTTTGTTTTTGAAAATAAAAAAATTATCCGCGCCCACTACCGATGATGGGTGTAAAAGATTCGGTCATGACTGAATATAATTTTCGTATTTATTTTCTTCTGTTTCGGTTTTCCAACAAAATATAATGCCGCCACATACGGTGGCAAAAACAAAGAAAAATACAGAATAACTATGTACAATATACGTTTGACAAATCTATGTCGGATAAAATATTTTTAGTTTTTTTTTTTTCAATTTAGCAAATTTTTCTTTCCTCTTCCGTTTCCAAGTGCTGGTGACTGCGCTGAATAACTGGAGTGCGGTTGTGCATCACATTGCCGCTTAAACAAAAACTTATAAGCCACACACTATTTGTGCAGCGTAGTAGCAGTAATGAATAAAGGAAAGTAAATTAAAAAAATATACTTTTAAAAAGTATATATGTCTACTGAAAAATGAACTTCAAAGGAGTAAGGATATCCTTAAAGTTAGCGGGAAAACGTAGTAAAAGAAATTCAAGTTCGTACGCTTCGTATGGCTCGAATTTCCGGTAGAGGAAACCATTACAGGAATCGGGATTGTACCGATTGGATATACGTTTTCCCAAATTGTGGATTAATGCTTGTAAACCGATATACTTACGAAATGTAACTTTTTTGTAGCATTGCGGGCATTATAGGAAACCTTTTTTTTTGATATAGACATGACTATGGGGACGCCCCTCATACGTAGAACGCGCTAATGGCCAGACAGAAGTTGGAAGAGAGAGATACACATAAGCATGCCCGATTCTCAAGTGTTATGACTTTACCGATAAAATACTTAGCATTCCCGCGACTACACTTTAACCAAATAAAAATTATTCTTTGTCAGGAAATTAACCCATATGTTCTAACCTGACAGTCGTAGTTAATTGTGCTTAGGTTACGATGTTTTGCCAACTATGTTGAGGAGGATTGCTGGCGAAAATTCATTGATATTGTTCTTGATTTACTGATATGCTTATGATGGCATCCTTATCAATTTTGATGGTAGGATGGGTTCTGAGTGCATCGCAAGTATTTACGATCCCCTTTTCATAATGAACTCAAAAATATTTGTGCCTGGTTTCAGATCTTAATTGCAATCACTTTAAGAAAGCCAACGAAATTTCACCGCACAAGTTGACATGACCAAACGATCCAACGTTGGCAATGAACTTCGATATATATATATAAGATATCTTATGATTTTAAATGTCGAGCTTTAATACCAAAACAACTCCCATAAGGATACCATGAATTAAGTTAAAATAACGTAGTGAACGACTTACTTTAAAATCATTTGAATAGAATTCGGCAGAATTGAGTCAGCTATCAATATATTGAAATTTTCGATAAACAATTGACGGAAAATGAATAATCAAATAGTAAATTCATTGCCAGTTTTTGGACAGCTTGTCTAAAAATTTAGTGATAGTAAAATTATCCTTTAAAGCAAGCAATCGATTTAGTTATAGAAATCGCTATATCAGTTGATATAGTGAATGAATTTTTATTTTTTTTTTTTTTGTGGAAAATTAAATATTGCTCAAAGTGCTTTAAAATTTTTAAAATTTAAATTGGTTCACTTTGGATGGATGCACTTCGTAAGCTAAGCTATTATAATCAGTTTCAGACAAAAACAAGTAAAAGCACAATAATGGATCATGGGCCGCTATGAAATACCCTAAAGTTATTCATATAACGACTTTTGAAAACGTAAATATTTGCATAGAAAGCGGCCGAAGAAGTGTTAAGATCTGAATCATTTTAAATAGCACTCGTCCTTGGGCCAAGACACGTCAGGGTTCAACATTTCATCAAAATATCTCAAAAAATTTCGACCTGCAGGTTGAGCACAAGAGAACACGGCATACAGGCAGACGGACAGACGAGCTTAGATTAAGCGAGAAAGTGATTCTGAATTTCTCGGCGGGTTTGCCTCAAGTTCTTCTGGGTGTTGCATGGAGCCGCACAAGTTTAATATACCCTTGTACCACAAGCTATGGTTTGATAATGGGAAATGTGAAATCCATATAGAGTCTCGTTACTATGAAAAATATACAGAGTGCTACGCTTATCATTCACATCTCCTTTGACAATCGCAATCCAGAAGAAGGCTGCAGGAAATTTAGACTTCTTACGATAGATGAGAACACCTAGAGCCGCAGGTGAGATACTACCAAGTCTTTGCTACGATTCGCGTTGCTAATTGACGCTTGAAAGGATTGCATTTCATAATCTACTCGAACTAAGGCTGTTGTCGTTTAAAGCCATAGTAAAACCAAAGCACAAACACCGTTTACGATGTGTGTGTAAATAATACACAGATAAAGAGCGTCGAACATACGTAGATTATATAAGATAATATTATTACAGTGGTTTGTATGTGTGCATTTACACGTAGTAATGTTTATTTTAACGCTGTTTAATAGATAGAGACAATTTATCGCAGTGATATATATATACATACATATATATTTATATAAATCTATAGAGGATGATATCAAATGCACAAATGTGACTTAAGAAACAGTCAAACCTGATTTTTGGAGGTAGACAGGAACCGCAGGAAAAAAACCACAAAAATATATTCAGAAACTTCATAAACAACCGTAGCAAACAATTTTTCGTAGTATATTACAAAAAATTTATTTTATCCTGTGGAGGGGGATCGCATAAAAAGTCCCTCTTAGAAAGCTTTGCCAGGTAACGAGAAAGTGCTTTCCAAACAAAAAAAAGAAAAAAGTTATTTAATTTCACATTTAAATATTCATTTGACCTTTTAAATATGGAAATATTTTTAAAATACAGGTAATGGAAGAAAATTCGTCGTAGTTCAAAACACGCGACGAACTGATTCGTAATCGTTTCCTCCACTTGAAGACATTAGAGCTGGACTATTGTTTATGACAGCAGTCGTTGATCGAAGCTTTTTAAAACTCTTTCCGAATAGCTATCTATTTTAAGAAAATGCTTTTCCAATTTAGTGCAAAGGCAGATTTCCGCATGTCACATATGATTATACACCCGGAGTTGAAAACCTTATGACAGTACTGTTGACTTGACTTTGCCTTGAAACTTGACGGATAATCGTAGTCTAGAAAAAGAAGTCGCACAAAAAAGTCTCATAAAACCAATCGAGCGAAAAGCAGATCGCAAGAAAAAAGAACCGCACAAAAAAAGTCTGATAAAGATTTAACTTGGGATTGATTTGGTGCAGCTTTCTGTTACGTCGTCTCAGACACGCACACGCCGAAATTTGCGTCAGATAAACAGCATTCGTAGAGTATCTGAGAGAGTACGTGTTTTCACATAGCGTCATTACTGGGGATCAAAATTAATCTTTTTATTTTGAGAATCGTAAACGCAAAAGATCATGGACAGACCCTCTTCAACAGAAAGACAATGCTTTGTGCTTAGTCGGAAAGAAACAAACCCATGGCCTATTATGAGCTATCAAGGCTCGTCGAAATGCTTAATACCAGCTGCTATCATAAATATTTAATCGATTTGAATCGATTTGCTCTTCAAAATTTGTTCAGAATATCAAACAAGTAAAAATATTATATTCAGTAAAGACTGAATCTTTTCTCCCGAAAAACATACGAAATGAAATTTCGCTTCTTTATAATATTGGGCGAGGGGTTGCTCAAATACCACAAAAATATACATACAAGGTTCTTTAGTAACGAGCAAAAAATCGAATTTACTTTGCTTTTAAA